TGCTAAAAGGATTCCTATGCTTGACCTGAAACTGTAGGCTATTCAAAGTGCTGGTGAAGGAAAGAAAGTAAATCACATGGTGGGAAAAGTTTCTTCTCTAGTTGCAAAACAACAAAACAAACTATGCTTGTAAAAGTTATTTCTAACAACTCTCATACAGGCAGTCAAAGTTTAGGACTTCTTAGAATGCTCTGTGACAATAGCCTTTAATCTCTTTTTAAAATATCTGCAACTCTGATTATCTTACTGAATAATTTGTTGGAAAATATTGTAGATTTGTGATCATGTAGCAGTTTTGAATAATCACTTTAAATCTCTTACTGAAAACAAAACAGAACAAGATAGAAAAACAAACCAACAAAAAGTTTGATAGCATCTTTAACAAAAGTTGGTGACATGAAATTCCTCAAAATCCAAGAATAAAGGTGCAAGTGGCCAAATCACCAACAGGAGCATGACCTAAGCAAGATGAAAAACTATGCTTAAAGAGTTGCTAAAAGTAAAAGGGTTACAAAACCAAAACAGAATGTCTAGAAAATAATGATAAAAATTAAAATCCATGGGATACAGCTGAAATGTTACAGAGAACATATATTGCTTAATTACATTTTCTATTAAAAGTATTAAATACCTTTACCGAGAAAAATAAAAAATGAATTAAATTTACAACCCAATAGAACACACACACACAGAAAGTTAACTAAAAGTAAGCAGTAGGAATTGATAAAAATAAAGGCAGATATTCATAGGCTACAAAGAGAAACAAAAAACATTTTAAAAAATGAGCTGGTTAAAGAGATTAACAAAAATAAGCAAGCTATCAGTTAACCAAATTAAAGAAAGTACAAGTTTATAAAATACAAAATGATAGGAAAAATAATCTTTGAAACAGAAAAAAAAAAAAAAGAGTGTGAGAGAGACTACTTTGTATAATTCCATGCAACTACACTTAAAAACCCGGAAAAGCTGTCAATTCTTCTCTTGGCTACTCCTCTACTTCAATAATTCCTTCAGTCTTGATTGATTTCACCAAGGAATTCTACCAAACTTTTTAATTTTTATTTATTTATTTATTTATTTTTACCAAACTTTTTAATAAGACATACCATATGCTACTTAATTTGTTCCAGAGTATAAAAAAACAAAACTTTCAAATTCTTTTTACAAAACAATCATCTATACTAATAAAAGCCTAGGTGGCCCTCGTGCGACACCCTCACGCCATCACAAGATGGCTGCCACAAGGTGGCCATCCTCATGTCATCACAAGATGGCTGCCACAAGATGGCTAGCAGGGAAGGGCCATCAGGCTGGCAGGGAAAGGCAGTTAGGAGCAACTGGCTGGCAGGGGAGGGCAGTTGCAGGTGATTGGGCCAGCAGGGAAGGCAGTTGGGGGCCATCAGGTCAGCAGGGGTGCAGTTAGGTGTCAATCAGGCCAGTAGAGGAGCAGTTAGGGGGCTATCAGGCTGGCAGGCAGAAGCAGTTAGAGGCAATCAGGCAGACAGGCAGGTGAGTAGTTAGGAGCCAGCAGTCCCAGATTGTGAGAGAAATGTCCGACTGCCAGTTTAGGCCCGATCTCACTGGGATTGGGCCTAAACGGACAGTCAAACATCCTTCAAGGGGTCCCAGATTCGAGAGAGTTTAGGCTGGGCTGAGGGACACCACCACTGCCCACCCCCCCACACAAATTTTGTGCACTAGGTCTCTCTCTCTCTCTCTCTCTCTCTCTCTCTCTCTCTCTGTGTGTGTGTGTATATATATATATATGTATATATATATATAAATGAAAGCCTAAACAACTGTTTGACTGTTCGACCAGTAGCTATGCCGCAAGCTGACCAGCAGGAGGCAGAGACTCCAACTGGTAGGTTAGCTTGCTGCTGGTGTACAGCCCATCAGAACTGGGTGAGATGGACCGGACACTGGAGCAGTCCTGCAGTCCCTTCCCAGAGCCCATTGATACTGATCAGGACTGGATGAGATGGGCTGAACATGCCTTGGACAAGTCCATGCACCAGGCTGATTTTGACCCGATTCCCACAGCCAGGCCAAGTGACCCCATCGGTGCACAAATCTGTGCACTGGGCCTGTAGTATTAATACTACAATATATACAATAAAATATAATAAAGATTATTTAAGAAAGAAAATTACAGGTCAATCTCACTTATGAATATCAATGTAAAAATATATGATTTTACTTATGTGGAATCCAATGAACAAAGTTAACAAACAAAATGAAAATAGACTTATAGATACAAAGAATAGACTAACAGCTGTCAGAGGGGAGGAGGTTTGGGGGCTGGGTGAAAAATTTGAAGATATTAAGTTCCCCCCCTAAGAAAAACCACCCAAAATCAAAGTCTCATGGAGACAGACTGTTGTATGGTGATCAGCAGAAGGAAAGGTGGTGGGAGTAGAAGAGGGTAGAGGAGGGATAAATGGAGATTAAAGGAGACTTGACTTGGGGTGGTGAACACACAATACAATATACAGATGATGTATTATAGAATTGTACACCTGAAATCTACATCACTTTATTAATCAATGACACCCCAGTGAGTTCAATAAAAAACAAAAGTAAAATAAAGTAAATATTAAGTTGAATAAAAAACATTTAAGAAATACAATATAAGCCGAAACCGGTTTGGCTCAGTGGATAGAGCATCGGCCTGTGAACTGAAAGGTCCCAGGTTCAATTCCAATACAATATAAAATAGTGGGATTTCTTTGGGAAATTTCAGAATTCAATATTAGAAAATCCACTTATATAATTTATAAATTCATCATACCAATAATTATAAGAAGAAAAATCATGTGATTACCTCCACAGATATTTAAAAAGCTTGACCAAATTCAAAATATGTTCTTGACAAAAGGTGGGAGTGATAGAGGGAGAAAAGGAGGAAGGAAGGAAGGAAGGAAGGAAGGAAGGAAGGAAGAAGGAAGGAAAGAAAGAAGAAAGGAAAGAAGAAATTCACCAAAGAACTTATATAATGTACATACATAACTCATGGACACAGACAATATTGCAGTGAAGGCTTGGGGAGAAGACAAGAGTGGGGTGAAGGGGGTCAATGGGACATCTGTAATACTTGCAATAATAAAGATAAATTTTTTAAAAAAGAAAACCTCAATAACAGTCGATGGATATTTTGTTAATATGATTTAATCATAATGAGGAAACCAAACATTGTTGCTTCCCAATGTGCTGGATAGGAAGCACAGAAACACTTTGAAATATTCCTCATACAAATATTGAGTCTAAATCTAATCTAAATATAGAGCTATCAATTTATAAGAAATAAATTGAAATAAATATTTTCTCCAACTGGCTGATTTTTAAAAAAGGTGGGAGTATTCTGTTTAAAAAAAAATTAGAAGACATTATAATTCCATGCAATGGGTGGACCTAATTTGGATTGCCATGAGAAGAAAACAACTACAGCAACTTGTTTTTTAGACAACTGAGGAAATTTGAATATGGCTAGGTAGTAAATGGTACCACAACATTATTGTTAATTTTTATATGTTGATGACAAAGCAGTTATGGAAAAAAATATCTGCAACTACACTTGTTGATCTATATTGGATTAGATAGGACTTAACTAATGTGTATCTCTGAGTTGCTACCAAATTCTTCAATAATAAAAATAAAATAATAATAATAAAAGGGACAGATGATGCAAATGTGGCAAAACCTTGATAATTGTTGAATCTGAATGATGGTTATCTGGAGGGCTTAATGTACTACTTTGTTTACTTTTCTGTATGTTTGAAATTCAGTCAAATTTCAAAAAAGTTTAAGCTTATTTCCCTGGTAGTAATAATTAAAGTAACATTTCTATTTGTACTTATACATGCCAGTTTTCTTTGTTAAAGCAGAAAATAAACATTGTCAACTCCCTATTTTTGTACATGTGTAGTGTGAGGAGGAAAGGGAAGAAAGCAAAAATCTCTGACTATTGAATTCTTATTAAAACAAAGAGCATGAGAGTCTATGCCATATATTTTAACACAGAGAACAATTTTTATAGAGAAGATCCATAATTCACAAAATAGGAGACAATAAGGAATTACACTTTTCTGCTAGAACTGCTAAATAACAATTATTAAAAGAAGGAGCTTACTCTTACATTTTCTGTTATGTTAAATGGACTCTGGGTGGTGATTCCTTTAATATGAAACTATATAAGAATAACAGTAGAAGTTAAGTGTATGACTTAATAGCAGTTTGATGTAAGAGTCAGGTTTTTGTTTTTTTTCAGTTGGAATTAATTGCCCAAAAAAGCTCATGGGATCTTAAGTAACCATATAGAGGTATAGTTCTAGAATAAGCAAAGTAATGTTTTTATTCTGCCCTGACGTTATTAGACCATACTAGGTTACCTAGTCTCTTTTTCATATCATTCCTTCCATGGAAGGCATTAGAAAGTAATTAGCTTGGAGAAAAGATCTTTCAGTGGCACCTGCTGTGGCACACTGCAGATGTTTGAAGTATAGCATTCTGAAGGGATAGAAAAAAATTAGAACTTATTATGAAAATTATAGGAAAGCTGATTTCGGATTAGCATGAATGCTGGGAAAGGCACTCGGCCATGGACCTGAAGTAGTTCATCAAGGCCCTAACTTCTCTTTGTTGAGGCCATTTATCAGTGTTGGGTTTGCAGCAAGCAACCATTGAGGGATATATTGATTCCACTTTGGAAAAAAGGTGGATTTTCTTTCCACTTATTAAAAAAATCAGTGTATTCCTCAAGCTTAGTATTCTTAACCTAAGACACAAACCTATTGTGTGCACAAGATACACCTGGGCCCTCTTCGGCTCCTCCATGGGACTTGGGGTGTAAGAGAAACTAACTGAAATATGATGGTCATCCTGCTTGCTAACTGTAAATAATGACATCTTTTGTCTCTGACTCAGGCATCTCTGTCTTCTGCCAACATTCATGAAACAGTGATTGCATATTACATATGATTACTAGCTTATACTTACTAGCTTATAAGCTTATAAGTAGGGTTAATTCAATAAATCCCAGTCCCAACAAAGGAGAAGCACTTTACTGGGTTCCCTCTCTGGAGGTATTCAAAGGGGAATGGGATAAACCTCTTGATATGAATACCGTATAAACATAGCAAAAAATAAAGCTCCAGATTAGTTTTCCTTGGATTTTCAATGTCATTCAAATTGCATGAATTCTATTATTACTTTTAGGAAACACTATATATAGACTTGGCTGCAAAATACCAGATTTTTAGCACCCAAGAAGTCAAGATTTGAATCTCTAAACTCTGCTTTGACAATCTTCTTCCTGCTCTATTATAAGTATCTCCAACTTGTCTTATTGGAAATTCATGGACATAAGTTTTATTAGCATTAATGAGACTTTAGTATCTAATGTGGTAGTAGTCATAATCATAACATTTTTCTCTCATTGCTGAAGGCCTCTGATAGTATTTTGAAAATGTGTATAAAAATCTACTCTGGCAATTTAAATAAGTGGTGTGATTCAGGTTTGGATCACGTGATAACTGATTTTTACTGACCATAAACAAAGCTTTACTATCTTCCTTTGTCTTTTCTATTGCAAATGCTTTGTGCAGCATACACATTTGTCCACTGGGTGGCAATATGTACTCAAGAATGTTCACTGTTCCTAGTTTATCAATCTAGTTGAATCCAACATGTCAAGCTCCTTTTTGCATCAGGAAATAGCCATTGTATCAAATCTGAAGAAACAGTATCATCTGAATTCAAGCTGCTACCTAGCAGTAACTAAGGAGATTTTGATAATATTAATACTTCCTAAACTTAACTCAGCCACACTCTTCTCTCAACATGTTCACACATTTGCAAAATAGATATCCCTCCTGGTCTTCTTATTCCTTGCCCCCTTTATAGTTGTTCATACCCTACTTCTTAAACGTATGCCCTTTTAAAATTTCCCTAAACTATTTTCCAACTCCAATACTCTTAGTGCCCTATCTCTTATTTCAGTGGTTCTTGCCTTACAATGAACTATCCCTTTTTTTTTCTTTTCATTTTGTTTCTTGATTTCACGCCTCCACAGTGAAATCAAGAGACATACCATTAAGCTCTTGTGTAATGACATATGCATCCCCTCTGATTTGGTCCCACATCCTAGAGAAGCAGAGTAAGTCTTGGATAGTCACATAATCTTGGGAAGTCATGTAGTTCTTTTCACTTTAATTCTGTCCAAAATGCAGAATACAACCAATTAACTAGCTCTATGTAAGATTTATCTTCAGTTAAGAGAGGGAAAAAATTCCAAGAAATGAAATTGCATATTACATATGATTACAACATAAGAAAACCCACAGAAATATATACATATTTAAAAAATTGACAATAATAATAGTAGCTGTGTTGGATGATGAAATTATGAAAGCTTGCTTATATTTCTTCTTTTGGCTTTTTCTATATTTTTCCTATATTTTATTTCATAAGAAATATATTTTTCAAGTGAAAAAGTATAACTGCAAAAACATCTTTTACCTTTCTCCTTCCTTGATTGAAAAAAAAATTCCTGTAGCTTTAATATATCCTTTTATTTAATTTTCCAAGAAGTACTTAATAATACTTTGACATTTTCTTGAATCTCCACATGGTGCTTAGTGTGATGGGAAGATTGGCTTATGCTCTTTTTCTTTTTCTTTTTTTAAGAATAGCTTTTGGATTTATAGAGAATTGAAAATATCCCATACCCAGTTTTCCCTATTACTAACATCTTATGTTAATTTGGTACACTTGTCACTGTTAATAAGCCAATATTGTTACAATGAACTAAAGTCCAGGCTTTTTTCAGATTCCCTATGTTTTCACCTAATGTCCTTTTTCTGTTCCAGGACCCCTTCCAGAATACCACTTTACATTTAGTCACTGTGTCTCCTTTTGGTTGTGATGGTTTCTCAGACTTTCCTGATTTTCCGTGACTTTAGCAGCTTTGAGGAATATTAGTCAGGTATTTGGTAAAATGTCCCTCAAGTGGGATTTCTCAGATGTCTTACTAATGATTAGGCTTGGATTATGGATTTGGGGAGGAAGACCACAGAAACAAAGTCATAGCAAAGGTAAGTACTGTCAGTATGATTTAGTGCTGTTGGCCATCTGGCTAAAGCAGCATTTGCCAGGTTTCTCCACTGTGACACTGCTCTTTCCTCCCCTTCCATGCTTTCCTCCTGGGTGATGCCTGCACAGCCACCAATTAACTTTGCTCCACCTCCGGAGGGCAGAGTATGTACAGAAATTACTTGAAATATTTCTGCACAGGTAACTTGTTTACTGTCTTAATTATTATTTATGTGATACTTTATATAGGTAGTAGTATAGACTCATGGGTATTTATTTTATACTTTGGATTATAATCTAATAATATTTCATTTTCTTGCTCAGATTGGCCATTTGGAGCTTTTTCAGTTGGGCTCTTGTGTCCTTTAGATGTAACTCTATCATTATGAGTTGCTTTTTGTATTATTTTCGTTCCTCCTTCTTTTCTGGCACCCCATGTCTTCCACAATCATCTTGTATAATTCCTGCCTCACTTCTAGAATTGGCTCACTCTTCATTATAAACATAAATATTAAAACATACTGAATGTCTCTATTGCATGCAAAACTTTGTGCTAGGAGTACATTTTTTAAAGACTCTTTTAAAATGTGTCATATCATGCATTTTAGCTGACAAAGACAACCATATATTATCATAATTCCTTATATTAAGCCTTATATTAGCCTAAAAATTCATAGTAATATTTGTTCATTTTTTACTCTCCACTAATGAATATTTGAGGTCAAGTATTCTGTTGGGGATCCTGGAGTTGGGTCCAACCAGGAAAAATGGCATCTAGAAAGTCATTATTAGAAATATGTACCTGAGGAGGAGAGATGAAGACATAGTCAGAAGGGAATCTAGAATCAGAAAGATTCCTGCAGCTATGAGTTCAAGTTCAACTGCCAAAAGTTTGCATGTCACCTCTGATAAATCTTCTTATGCTGTGACTTTCCAAGGAGTTTTGATCCTAGCTAATAATTTTCCAGAAAAATCATGGTTTTATATATATTTTAAAAAATCACAGTCTTATAACTTTAAGGGTTTTTTACATATAACCAAGCTTGACTATCTCTCTCTTTTCCTTTTTTTCTGGACAAATGAAAAGAAGCCACAGACAATAATGTTAGGGTTGGACATAACCCTTAGGGTCACCCACCTAGAGATTCTACATACATCAATACAGAGACAGAGATCTGGTGACTTTCTTAGGGTTGCCGCACAGTTAATAGTGTGGAACTAGGTGCCTCCTGTCGGGAGCAGGAGAGAATTCCCTCACTCCACACTTCTTTAGTTCTTTGGTTGAACTAGTTATAGAATAATAAAACTGACATAGGACTAGATTAACAGGTAAAAGACAAGTTAATATGTGCACAATCACAATATGATGCTTAATCATAAATTGAGGCTCGAAGAATTGATCAAATTAGGCATCTTTTTTTTTTTTTAATAGTGTTTAGACAAACAAAAAATGTGTGAGAAAAAAAAGGCAGTGCTCATAAGAGAGGGATCTAAACAAAGTTTGGGCTTGGGTAGTAAATTAGTAAAGGTGTTATAAAGTTTACACCTGCTTTTTTTCTTTCTTTTTTTTTTTAAATATATTTTTTATTGATTTCAGGAAGGAAGGGAGAGAGAAAGAGAGATAGAAACATCGGTGATGAGAGAGAATCATTGATCAGCTGCCTTCTACACATGCCCCTTGGGGATCAAGCCCACAACACTGGCATGTGCTCTGTCTGGGAATCGAACCATGAGCTACTGGTTCATAGGTTGATGCTCAATCACCAAGCCACTGCATATGGTCTATACATGTGGGGTTTTTTATTTTTTATTTTTTAATCTGAATTTTATCTCTTGTGATAAGGTTGACTCTAGGTCGTTTGGGAGTAAGGAGGGCATCTAGCATGGAGATTTATTTCTTGCTTTTAGTGGAACAGAGGAGAGTGAGAGAGCTCTCAGTGCTCTTGCTGCTTCTCAGGTAACATCCATTGTGGCATATCCTGGGCAGCTGGCCTTGGGCCCCAGCACTATTCTCTTGACCTTCAGATCAGAACACTTTTACCACAGAGCTTTGCTATATTTAATCATTTATGCATGCATTCAACTCATTAGTTAATTCATTCAACAAAAAAATATTTAAATAGCTGCTTCATGGTTGGCACTGTTAGGGTTTGCATGTACAAACTTGGAGAGTTAAGCCACTTAAAGAACTGTATCTGAGATTGGATTAACTGCCACCAGGTGGAGTAAGCCCTCAGATTGGCAAGGATATTGTTGGTAGGTAACCATTCAGATTTTCCTATTAGACCTATTTTCAAAATCAGATGGTAGAAACAGGTTTGAATGTGCAATCCAAGTTTATCATTTCCTTTGAAGGTGCTACCAGTCTTCCAGCATCCCAGGCAGAAGTCTTTAAGTTACTTTTTGACTCACTTCATGTTTTACTTATCAAGTCACTGTTTTGTTCAAATTTAGCCCCTTCATGAAAACCTCCAAGTTAGCCATCAGGAAGCAAACACTCTGAGAGGGTCTCAGCCGACTGCAAGTTCACTGCTGCTTCTGAGCCTTTAATCCTGTTGCTGTCTCCTCTGAGATTCCTTCTCTTTTAAACTCTTTCCTTATTGACTTGCAGTGTTTAGCAAATATTATGGTGAGAGCAATACATGGAATGCAAAACTATCTACTTTTCCCAGACCAGAATCTGCTATGTCCCTCCCTATTCTTCTGAGAGGAAAGAAGATCTAGTTGGTACAATGGGTACATGAACAAACATATGGAAGGCATTTACCATTACCAAAGTATCGGCTGGGGAGGGTAGTCAGGAAAGAAATGGGTCCTTAGATTAGGGATGAAAGTAACTCAAATAATTTAAATAGATACAGTCATAGATAGTTTTACATGATGAGATGAAATAGCATAGTATTTCAACATCTGACAATTTTAGCATGGGAAGAAGGCATGGTGAACTGTAGGAAAATGGTAAAAATTGATATAAAAAGAAATGGCGGGTACTAAACTATGAAGGTCCATGAGTGACATGCAAAAATATTACGGACTTTGTCTTTTAGGCATTAAAGGTCATTACAACATTTAGAAAGAGGAATAGCTCAAACAGTGCTCTGTATGTGGCATGGATTGGAGAAAAGTGAGACCACATACAAGGCAACCAATTAGGAAATGATCATAGAGTTTGGGTAGAGATGGCAAAGCCAGAATCAAGATTAGAGCTCTGCTGAAGGAGAGGCAGGGATGGATCTGATATATATAAATATATGGAGCCCAGCACGTGATTCGAAAGCATGCAGCACCGCCCACCCTCGAGTTGTGGGTCAGGCCCTTCCTTGCTCCCCAGGCCCCGCAGCAGCCACAGGTGTTGCTTATCAGGCCCTCGCCCAGCGGAGGCACGGAGAGGCCCCTGCTGCCCACGCCCCCAAAACTGCAAGAGCAACTCCTCCTGTCCGGTCCACCCATTATGGCATTCTGGTTAATTAGCATATTTCTCTAATATATATTCTTTGTCCCCTTTCCAAGCACAGAGCTCCTAAAACCCTTGGAATTTCCTTTTATGGGAGCCATAAAGGTGTCTTTTGTTATGTTAATGAGATAACTTTTGGAAAGCTCCTAAGTAACCTAAAGATGGAGACTGGTCGACAAAAGAACCAAACCTATGACCAGAGGGTTAGAACTTCCAGTTCCACCCTCTAACCTCTGGGATAGGGGTGTCGAACTCAATCAGAGAAGGGGCCAAAATCTAAAATCCAGCCTAAATCACGGGCCGAATGGTTTACTGAACAGTCATAAACTGTCATTGTGATGGAAACGCAGCGGAGTGCAGTGATGACAGCGCGGTGCGGGCCACATTGCAAGGCCTGGCGGGACGGATTTGGCCCGCGGGCCTTGTGTTTGACACATGTGCTCTGGGAGGAGAGAATGGTTGGAGGTTGAATCAGTCATCACTGGTAAATGATTTAATCACCCATATCTATAAAACATAGAGTCCATAAACAACAAAAGATAAGGTTCAGAGAACTTCCAGGTAGGGATTCTGGGAAATTGGTTCATCCAGAAAAACTATGGAAGCTTTGAACCTTTTTTCACATACTTGGTCCTAGTCTGTTCCATCTGACTGCTCCTGAATTATATTCTATTATAATAAATTAATGACCTAGTAAATACAATGTTTCTCTGAGTTCTGTGAGCCACTCTAACAAATTAATTGAACCTAAGGAGGCTGTCATTGGAACCTGTGATCTATAGCCAGTTGGTCAGATGCACAAGTGACAATTATCTCTAGGTAGCTAGTGTCAGAATTGAGTGCACTGTAGAACACCCAGCTGGTGTCAAAGAACTGCTTTGCAGTGTGGGGAATTGTGATATGGAATTGGTTCCAGAACCTTTAAAATAGGAATACAAAATGAAAGTAGGGACAGAATGCTGGGCAACCACCATGTTCTTGGCTCAGGACACTGCGTGTATGGTGATGTTATTAATTAGGCTAGAGGATACAGGAGGCTAAATAGTTTTTTGGAAGGTTTGGGGTAGGGTGATATAAACATCTTGAATGTACTTTGGGACATATTATGTGATTATTTGCACTAATCAAGTTCATATATTATCTTATGTAATAAAAGAGTAATATGCAAATTAACCATCACTCCAACACACAAAGATGACCACCCCCATGTGGTCAAAGATGGCTGCCCCCAGGTGGACACAAGATGGCCTGCAGAGGAGGGCAAATGGGGGAGACCAGACCAGTAAGAGAGGGCAGTTGCAGGGAACTCAGGCCTGCAGTGGGAGGAACCAGGCCAGCAGGGGAGGGCAGTTCGGGGAGACAAGGCCCAGGGAAGGGGACAGTTGGGGAGACCAGGCCAGCAGGGGAGAGCAGTTGGGGGAGAGGACCAGGCCTGCAGGAGAGGGCAGTTGTGGGGGCAGGCCTACAGAGGAGGGCAGTTGGAGAAGACCAGGTCTGCAGGGGAGGACAGTTAGGGGTGATCAGAATGGCAGGAGAGCTCAGTTAGGAACAATAGGGCCAGCCAGGGAGCAGTTAGGTGTTGATCAGGCTGGCAGGGGAGTGTAGGAGCAATCATGCAGGCAGGCAGGAAGGCGAGTGGTTGGGAGCCAGCAGTCCTGGATTGTGAGAGGGATGTCCAACGGCTCATTTAGGCCCAATCCCACCGGCGGTCGGACAGCCCTTAAGGGGTCCCAGATTGGAAAGGATG